GTTCTTAATAATCACAGAGGAACTTTTTGGGGACCCCCCTCCTAAATGAGTGAGCACACTCACTGTCTCTATGTCTTTCCTTGGTGACTGAAAGGTGATGTAACTGTGGGACTTGGAGCAGAAGCAACAGAGACCATCTTTGCAACAGTCCCCTCTACTAATTTCTCTTAGAGGAAGTTCTGGTCTATCACTTCATTTCTATGTTTTCCCTTCTGTGTCTGAGGGTCAGTCAGATCTCCAGGTCATCGTTGCTTACGTATGCAATCAATCTTCGTGCTACCCAGGCCTATATTTGAAAAGACTGCTACCTTCATTTCTACTACCAATACCACTTTGCTGACAAAGGGGTGCTGGTTACCAAACTCAGGGCCTCTAGCATGCTTAGCACACTCTTCTGCTGAGTGACACCCACCCTCCTCTTGATGAGACTTTGTCACTAGGGGTTCAGCTACTTAGGCAGGAACCTGTCTTTTGGATTCACTGTGAGCTTAGCACTTGAGAAAGTGACTGGATGAACAAAGGAAGGATGGAGGGGAAGAGCAGGAGCGTGTGGGCTCTAATAGGACTCAGGGCACTGTCAAGCAGGGGTGGGGATGGACATCAAAGGGATTGAGCTCCTCCCTAGGGCTGGGGAAGCACAGACTGGAAAACAGTCGCAGCCATTGTCCTGTGACCCTCACAGGGTCCAGATCATTTCTCAGCACCCTGGGCTCACTTAGGAAGTGACACTGCCACACACACCAAAATAGTTTAGGAGTTCCCAGGACCCTCTATGAACTCAAAGTAGGGGTCAGCCATGGTGTCAGTCTGTAAATGATTATTGCCCATCAGTGACAAGGTAATTATGAAAATAATATTTAGAGACACGCAGCAACCTTATGCAATAATTTATAATACATTAGATCTGTTTTTTTTTTTTTTTTTTTGATGGACTTTTCTTTGGTATGCTTTTTGTCCTGTCTCAATTTCCTGGGTGTCCTCACTGGATGAAAGGTCTGTCTTCTGGCCATAGCTTGCTTGTTGGGCTTCATTACTGGGGGAAGAGACGTCCCAGATTTAAGGCACTTGGGAAAAAGTTTACTGAGTTTGCCTCAGTAGTCTTTTCTCTATTTCTAATTTTCTTAATTAAAAAAAATTCTGTAATTTTACACTTCTTGAGAGAGCAGGCTTGATGTTTGGAGCTCCTCCCTGGGTTCAGTGTCATTCCCTGTCTCGCTTAAGGTTTCTATTGCTGTGAGAGACACCGTGGCCATGATAACTCTTATTCATTTCAGTGTGGTGGCTTGTTTACAGTTCAGAGATTCAATCTATCATGTCGAAGTGCTGTAGCTGTAACTGAGAGTCCTGCTTCTTGCAGGCAACAGTGGTCTGAGTGTTTCACTGAGGGAAACTTGAACAAAAGAGATCTCAAAACCTGCTCCCACAGTGATACACTTCCTCCAACAAGGCCACACCTATTTCAACAAGGCCACACCTCCTAATAGTGCCACTCCCCTTTGGGGCCATTTTCTTTCAAACCACCACATTCACATCCTGCAGCCCCTTGAAAGACTTTCAGACTTGATTCTGTATTAACCTACTGTGGGTGGGGGGGTGAGTCTTATTCTTTTTGTTGGTGTTTTGTTTTGTAGAGAAAGGTCTTACTCTATTACTCAGGCTGGCTCAGAACATGCTCTGTGTAGTCCAACCCTGTCTCAAACTTGTGATACTCCTGCCTCAGCCACTAGAATGTTAGGATTCTAGGTAGGAATATGTCCTCAGGTCTGGCTTACCAGGTCTTACTTTTCTGTGTGACCCTGGATGTAGCATTTAGTGGGTACCAGTT